ATTAAAGTTACATGGAAAATGGCAGGCTACATACAGAACACTGATCAGGTTTTCCCTGTTAAAAAAAAAGAAAAAAAAGAATACAATACAGAAAACCAGTTTGTTCTCATTTCAACATATCAGATCCCTTTGACGTTATGCTACACTCCAGCCTTGTCAGTAATGCAGAATTCTGCAAAGGAAAGAATCAAAGATGTGCAAACAAAGCAGGAACCCAGAGACATGCTCCTATGTGCTGACACGCAGCTGCACCGAGACACAGAAGTACAGACTCAAAGCAGTGCTCTGGAGCCTACCCAGCAGCTTCTGATACCGAAAGCACAGTCTATGGTTTGTATTCGATGCTTGCATAGTTAGTAAGTGCATGCATTTGGGTACAGCGAGAGAACTGCCATGCAAAACTGCCTTTATTACCGAGAAAAAATGGTTGATCATGCTCAAGTTTCAGCTTTGGAAAGCAAACCACCCTGCAGCTAAGACGGATGAGGGCACTTACAGTGGAATAAGTGTACTGTAATTAAGCTGCTAATTTTCTATCCTAAGCATTTTTTTTTAATTTAGCCATTTTGATAAGTTTGAAAGGGTTAACAATTTATACACCCAAAGTGAGACACTTACAAGTTACAGAGAACTGCAGGCACCAAATTGTCTATCAAAGGTGATTAATACAAATAAAAGGTGCCCCTTTAATACACATCATTCAAAATGTGCTTATAATTTGTATACTACTAAACACTATCCAAAAGACACATCCCAAAAAGGGTAAAAATAATTTCTTTAGGTGACTCCAGGAGGAATCTAGCACTGGAATGAAGGCGCTGCCTCCCTGCACCCAGAGGGCCGATTTCAAGAAGAGGAGCAAGCATCAGACTAGAGATGTGATGCGAAACAAGTTACACATGGCCGATGCAGGTAAGTTCAACCCCACGTTGATTGGAAACATCATAAAACCCTCAGAGGACTTGAAGCCTGCTCTCCCTTGGAGCTCTCAGGGCTGTTTGAGAACAGGGACAGTGCTGGATCTCCCCTTTTCAAGGCGTTGCTCACCAGCGTGAGGCTGCCCTGTAAACCTTTGCTTCCAGGTCACCAGCACTGGGGTCCCAGACTCCACCACCCCCAGGCCAGGCCAGCTCACCCCACCCCACAGGCAGCCAGACCAGGGGCCGTTCAGCACATACCATGGCTGTGTGTGACTGGCAAAGCAGACCCAGAGAGCAGCCATTCTCATCCCACTCAGATGCCCAGCCCCGAGACCTCCCGGCCCCCCATGCCACCACCCAGGGGCAGGTGCAGATCCCTGGCCAGCGGGGACCTTCGGAAGATGGCAGAACCCACCTCCGCCACAGGCACGAGTGCTTCTGAAGCCAAACGCAAATTTTAAGAGGTGACCATGTACAAGTGGCTGCTTCAGTTCAGCCTCAAGCCTTCACTGCTCTGAGAATCAATACACAAAGCCAAGGTTGTGTTGGCATCTAGGACTTGGAAGATCCCTCTCTGGAGCGTTCCCTAGTACCGTGCCACATCCTTACACCTGGACAACGCAATACACATAGACAGGAATTCCTATGCATGAAAGGACTAAGAAATAAGTCTGCTTTAAAGAAAGAAGACGACTGATGTTGCTTTTCCTCAAATCACTTTAAGTAGGGCCTGCAATAACCTACATTCAGTGTTAGAAAGATTTACTATGCATCACTGATGGAGCCATGACTCTAGCCAAGCAACGAGGCTTGGTTTTACACTTACAATGACATTGTTGTTTCCTGGACTCACACCCTTCAACCTTCTCCTGTGCAAGGAAGTTCATATACTACTGGAAATCTGTGATACCAAAAGGCAGAGATGCAGAGTGGCAGCAGACGACTGCTTTCCTAACGGCTTTGTTACAGAATCGACACAGCCACAGAACAGGGACCGCACATTCCAATCTTGCAAGGGCATGCTTTGCACATTTTGCCCAGTGTGCGCCTTATATTCAACACGAACTACAGTGCACCCTTATAAGTCAAAACTTTTTGCTTGAGGACACCCTAAGTCAAGCCCTTCTGAGCCAGAAAACACACCATGTGCTGGCAGCCCACCACAGAAGGGCAGCATCTCATCTGCTTTAAGGCGAGGGCACCGTCAGTACAGCCTCTTCTGCCCGCTCCGCACTCATTTGCGGCGCGAGGAGCCTGTGCACCAGAGCTACGGTTTTCAGAGGGACCGGTACGAAACCCAGTTTGGCAGCATACACAGAGTAGACAGTGCTGGAGCTGGCAGCAATTTCCATCAGGAATTACAGGGAATATACAAAAGAGCTAGATTGTATATCATGGGATTGCAGAGGTTCAACTGCTTTTAACATCAGCTGCTGGAACACCAGGACCTCCCATTCCCATTTTGTCCAAATGGCAGCTCTAATGACCATTCTCATGCCCCAAATACAAACATATTGAACTGTCATTCAGCTAAAACGCCTACTTGGACATGGCTTCAAATTTCCTTCAGTCCAGGCATGCAATATAGGAGCAAAAACACCTCAAAGACCACACACCAGCTTCCTGTTTAAACTTCTTCAGTGAACGATGGGATGAAAAGAAAATGTCATTTGATAAAAATAACCTTTCATAAATGTCCCATGGTAAAATGCACAGAAAACTAGGTTCCATCTATTAAAAGATACCAAACCAAGTAAGCACTAGTTACAAGAATTACATTCTTGCTAGAAGAGTTGTTACAAGAAAAGAGCCAACACAGTGCAAGACCTTAATACAGATAAAACCTTAAACAAATACTTCAACATCAACATTTCAGGGAGTAATTTAAGTACCACAATGTGAAGCAAGTCTTATCTGCTCTGCTGGATATAACAAAAAATAATCCAAGAGTAATCCAAATCATACATTTAAGAAGTAATGCAATCTTTGCTTCTTGTTGCTGCAATAAATGAGACTGAAACAATACCAGGGAGAAGAAATGCATCAAGATGGTGGTCATGTTTGGGTTTAAAAACATAGTCCAGGGCACAGAGTCCAGCATATTGTTAAAACATGCAGGCTACTGGCATTGCTTCTGGGTTGCGTGAAGGTATGTTCTGCAGAACATCATCGGGACAGGCAAGGGTTATACTGCAGGTGGGCTCACCATCACACACCGAACAGAGCTCTGTGGCACACCCAGCTCACGTCCATACACACACTGCCTTTTCTCCAAGGTGTCAGCTACCCCAAAACACTTCTCTCCAAAGCTTGCTGCAGACATGTGGCAAGCCAAGTATAAAAAGCGATCACGGAGCAGCGACATGCCCAGCAGACCAGGGAGCAAGGCTTCTTGCAGGGTCATCAGCACATCAGCTCAAAGAGAGGAGGTGGAACAGACTAGCTCAGAGTCACTACTTGTTTGAGGGCTGTTTGTTACGTTGACAGAGAAGATGTACAAATTTGTCTGTCCACAAGCTAAGCCTGGAGAAGCTTTGCCACACAAGACTGTACGACAGGCAAAGACCTCGTTCAGAAGACAAGCGTGCCCAGCACACTGCCCGGCTGCTGCATGTCGTGACCTACAC